AGGTGCATATGAGTATACAAGTATGGCAAAACATACAGTTTTAAACTTCATGTACTATGTAGCATGTCAGCTACAAAACTCTCAAATATGTTAGACATGTAAATGTCTTTGTACCTTATAAATCAATAGATAGAAACATCAAAAATAAACAAGATATGAGCAATTAATAAGTGAATATATATGACTGAGAGACATATTAAAACCCCAAATTACTTAAAATCACAAAAAATAAAAATGTACTTTTAACACTTTTTGTATTGTGTTTTATCCTATTGTGCATTCACCAATTAAAATGGTAAATGTAAACACTCTTGGTCATATCTAATGCTGGAGAAATGAGATTCCTCATATACTGTTGGTGGGCGTATAATTTGTTAAAATTTTATTGGAGGGCAATGTGACAATATATAGCAAAAGCCTAAAATATACAAAGCTTCTGACAATAATTCCACTTGATCCTAAGTAAATGGGCATCATATGAGGAGTTAGAAATAAGAATCTTCATCATATCTATTTTTTATAATTGCAAAAGGCTGCAGAGAACCTCAAATATCATATCAGATATTTGGATGAGTAAGAGGTGGTAACTCCAGTTTATGCAGCCACTAAAAATGAGACTGTAAGCCAGGAATGGTGCAGATGCCTGTAATTCCAGTATCCTGGGAGGCCAAAGCAGGGGAGCTGTAAATTCAAGCCCAGCTCAGGCAATTGAATGACTTAGTAAGATTTTGTCTGAAAACAAAAACAACCAAAAAAATAAAGGACTGGGATTGTAGCTCATTACAGTTTAATCCCAGTACTAAAGTGGGGAGGGGTTGAGATTAATCAGGGAAGAATATTTAGAGACATGGAAAGCTATCTGTTGAGTATAATTAAGTGCCTAGATGCTGTTGCTGCTGTAAAGATGGGGGCCTGTGGGTGCTGCTTTAGGCCTGGACCACCAGAGGTGGTGTTGTAGGTACTGGCCTCTCCCTCCAGAGCAGCGGACACAGTTTTGAACTCCTTGTAGAAAAGACAGCTCCAAACAAGGACAAAAGAAATCCTTCCTCTCTTGCCTAGGTCAGTGGATCCAGTAAGGTTGGGCCACCCTGCATGGCTGATCCTCCAGTGGGCACTGGAGGGAACAAGGGACTGGAGCCTCAAATGCCCATTTCACAGTTGTGGAAAGTGAGGCCCAGAAGGGCCTATACATGTGTTCCTCAAACAACATTCCTTCTTGAAAGCTGTAGTTGTGGATGGCTGGAAATGAAAACAATGCCAGAGTGTCTGATGATGAAACAGGCTTTTCTGGAATCCATTCACCTACTGGAATCCCAACACTCTAGAATCAATGAAGAAGAGTTATCACTGAGATGTGGCTTCAAAGACCCCAAATGTCTCCCTATAATCTTTCCACGAAAGATGACAATCACAGTCAATGACTTACTGTCTCCGTGCCACAGAACCTGGAGATGTTACAAAACCATAAATCCATGAAACCTGCTAACTTCACGCATCAGAACCTCACCATTTATGGACAAAGGGCTTTCATTCTGTGTGTCAACTACTACCAGGTTTGGTGGGAATGGCAAAATTTATTCCAAGGCAGTGCTTAGACTGATGAAAAAAGAGTATAATAATTAGTGAGATGTTGACTTGGAAGGAGGGATTAACAGTAACTTTGCCACATATTTTCATCTTGGTCTAAAATAGTGGTGGCGAACCTATGGCATGCATATTATTGTGTTTTTCTTTTAAGGCAAAAGATATCAATGTATGAGTTGTTTTTCCTAAACTAAAACCTCAGTATTCATGTTTAACTGCAGTGTTACCACTTTACAATAAATAAGTGGGTTTTGGGTTGCAGTTTGGCACTTGGTCTCTAAAAGGTTTGCCATCACTGGTTTAGAATATCTGTTATGCTCAAAATGGAAATTCTGCATTCAGTCTCTGTGTTATAGCTTATGTCTCGATGTCCTCCAAAGCCTCATGCAGTTATAGGTGGGGCTTTTCAGAGCTGGCTGGATCTAGGGTGTGTGATACTGGGATTAAGTATATGATGCTGGGATCAAGAGTGTGTGATTGTTAAACTGATTGGCTTTGCATAGTTCTGGGTGTGGATAATGGGATGGTCCACTCTGGGTGTGGGTGGCACCATCCAAAGGGTGGGTACCCTGGAAGGGATAAAAAGGAGAGGCAGGCTACTGCTGCTGGTTCTTTGCTGCTTTGCTTCCTTCTGCCCATCATTAACTGTTTCTCCTCTGCCATGGCACCCTGGCTGGGAGCCAGCCAACTATAAACTGAAACCTACAAACTATAAGCTGCAATACACCTTTCCTCTTTTAACTTTGGGTGTTGGGAACTTTGTCTCAGCAATGAGAAAAGTAACTAAGACACTCTTCCACTATTAATTATTTCTATGGAATGTCAGGTGAACTTTTGAATATCACTTTAATGCAATCATTGTCCTACTTAAAAATCCTTTAAATATCTGTCTCTACTTCCCATAATAGTATATCTACTTCTTTAGCCTAGTATTCAAGTCCCTCCACAATTTGATGCCACTTTCTCTCCTAATTTCTTAGAACCCCTCACAAAACAGTCCCCCAGGATCTCTGGCCTCTTTCCTGTATCTATAGCATACACTGTGGTCAGAAGAGATCACCCATAGGAGCCAGGGGGTGCTACCCTGTTCAGTTGGGAACAGTTGGACTAATGGGACAGAATGAGTCACTAGGTGCAAACGCTCAAGATGGAGTGGGCATTAGAATTGTTGAAGTGAAGGTCTGGGGCAGATCTGAGTGGACAAACTGTGGCTGAGGCTTGCTCATGTGATGGCCTAGTTTCTATCCCAGTTTAGCTGCCTATAATCACCCTCAAGGCAGTGGTGTTGGACAGCTGTTTCCAGAGAGACAGCTGTCACACATACTGCATGTTTTTTATCTTGGGACCCGAAGAATCTTTTTCACCTTAGTGTCCATTTATTTTCCTTTTTGCCTACTTGAATTTTGTCTATCCTTCATTACTCAGTTCTAAACCATCAGAGAGGCTATGGTCTGTCTCAAATAACCTGTTTCTCAGGGTTCTGATATTTGACATCATTCTCTAATTTACTCCCACAACTTCTCATAGATCTCCCCTAGCTCCAGAGTGCTGGCACAATGCTATGTTCACTGCTAGAGCCCATCCTGTCCAGGCATTTACATCCAAGACTTTATGGACACTGACTCACTGTCTCATTTATGTGGAGCAGTCTGGATGTGGAATGGAATATTGAGGTGTCTTTTCACTCTTAAAGATTTAAGTACCAGTCTAAGGTAACAAAGCACCATAAACTAGCAATGGAATGCAACAGCATAAAACACAATAAATTCTTATTGCCCAAGGCTAAAATGAGACAAAATATTATTCCAGAATAAAGGAGAAAGTAAAGATATCATGAAAAAATATGAGCAGCATGCTGAATGGCACCCAAGTGACCCAAAAGAGTTATTCAATGTGGAAATACTCTGCACACCTTGCTAGTGACTCAGCTATGACCAACAGTAACATTTTTTCATAGTAATGAGTCTAAAACAAAGAACTTCATAATGCATACACTTAATTTGGAATAAGTTTACCATACGCAAGCCAAAGAAACTATACAATTTGAAACTTCTGTAAATTCTGATCAGTGTGATATGGAAAAGCTCAACACTGAGATTCTATAAGTTGTGGGAAACAGAATAGGGATACTTGTTAACTCTGTCAGTGTTTTACTTTTACCTGGGTCAGAAATGGAGAAATCAGAACCTCCTTCCATATGCAGATGGGCCTCTTCACTACTGTCAGATGACAGTGAAAATGGAAGTTAATCTTTCTGTGCTCTAACCCTAAACTCACAAGGCACTTCATGCGGATAAGTCATTATGGATAGGATCTGGAATCCCCATTGGCCTTTGTTCTTTGCTAGTTGGTGGCAGAATAATAAAGACATCTTTATTATTTAAAGTTTAAGAACTTTGAGGGCTGGGGATTTAGCTCAGTGGTTTCACCGCCTGCTGCTCAAGTGCAGGGACCCTGAGTTTGATCCCTGGTACCAAAATAAATAAATAAATAAATAAATAAAAATAAAGTTTAAGATCTTTGAGCCAAGGAAATAATTCTAGCTATTGCTATCATAACGACCCCCGATCTTGCGGGGCTTGTTTTTAGTAAGTCATTAAAAGCTTTTCTCTTACTTAGGTAGCGTGAGCTCTTAGATTTACAGCACAATTCAAAGGAAGGCACAAGGGTTTTCTGTATACTCCTGGCCCCCCTACATGCACAGGCTGGGGCCCCACCCCATCTCCAACCTGGACCTTTGGAAGAAAAAGAGGGCTTTCCCTCCATGCTGACTATCTCCAAAGGTCATGTGTGAGGGTTCTTCTGGGGCCTCCTTGATCCTGATGAGGGGCCAGGACTTGGATGCCCTTGCACACTACGCTGCTACCAGAGGGAACTAGTTATGTAGCAACCTTGGTGAAGATGTCTAACACCAGATGCTAGGGAGGCTTTGCCTTGATGAGTCAGTCTGGGCTGGCTTCAGACCACACAGAACTGCTGGCTTTTGGAGGGTGCCAGCATAGCAGCTTTGTCTTTGAGCATGACTGTAGATCTACTGAGGTGGAGGAGGTCATAGTGGTACCAAGAAGGTTATAGGAGGAAGAGACACACGAGTGGATTTTACTGGCACACCTTTCTCAGAGTTCAGTGGTCACCCTGAGTGAGCAGATCTGGACCATGGTATCAGCCCAAGAGGACTAAGGAAGGAACCATGTTGGAGTCTAGACAAGCTATCAAGTCCAGACTAAGAACTGTACTCACCTTACATGGAAAGGCAGCCAAGTTTCCACTAGTGAGTCTGGATTCTGTAGGCAATTTAGTGATTTCCTGTTGGCCACCCCCTGCTGTAGCTTCCCTCCCACCTGCAAGCAGTCATTCACCCATAAATCCTGTCCAGCCCTGGATTATTGCCCAATGCTTCAGAGGGTTTGACTCACCAAGGAGAGCAGAATTCCCAGGATCCAGGACCAGCTGTGCTCCCATAGGAGATGTCAGGACCGAAGGAAGTTTCGGGCCAGTGGCTGAAAGCAAGGCCCTGATATCTTCCAATTGTGTGGGGACCTGGGGAGCTTCTGTGAGAAGAGAGATGATGAATCAGAAAGTTAAACCACACCGGGTGTATCAAAGTAGGAGAGACGTAGTAGGCACGTAATGTGGGTGCAAGACAAACATTGCTGTTACTGACTCTTAATACCCTTTCCCTACATAGGAGTAGACCTGTCAGGTGAATCTGAGTCTTAATATTCAATGTCTGACATAATATAATAAGGTCAATAAGAACCAGGGATATTAATTTCAAGAGGTCCTCATTTTCCATGACAGCACCTTTGGGTTCTTGTAGCTTTGTAGATAAATTAAATCATATTATGAGCAACTTCAGCATTTACTATATGACAAGTCATGACTAGGTAATTTTCATCCCATTTTTCATTTCTCTATTACAACATCCTTTAGAGAGGTGCTTTGTGATTGTCCCCACAGATAGAAATATACCACAAGAATGCCTTCTTCAAAAGGGCCTATGAGTGACTATTTCAATAAAGAAAAAGATCTAGTTGTGAAGTTATTTGTTTTATGCTCTGGATTTTTCTCCCCAATAGGATGGAGACCAACAGGACAGGAAGCGGTTACTATGAGATGCTTTGTCATTCAAAATCTTACAAGGGGTCATCAGAGGTCACAGTTAAGTGGAGTTAAAAGTGACAAAGTTTGGAGATATGGCAGCTTGTTTACCATTTCCACCAGATAATGAAGAGGCAGGTACCCACTGAGCCTAGTGGCAGAATGGCCCCAGCCTCCTGGGACAGCAGCAGAATCTGTGCCTCCCTTCCTGTGTCTGCTGAGCTCGGCCATTCTCAGGCCCCGGAGCAGTTGCCATTCTACTTTAGAGCACTTGTTGGGGTAGAATGAGAAGCAGAAGCATTGCTCTTGTGATTGATGACCATTTCAGCAGAGTTTGGCAAGAGTCCTACTATGTGCACAGCGCTTGTTAGGGATGGCAAATAAGTACTCACAGTGCCTGAGGGTACTTCAGAAATATACCTCTGCCTCTCTGCTTTTGACTGCCAAAGACCATCACACAGAAAGAGTGATGAATCTGAGATTATTTATCTATAAATGAAGTATAATTTGAAAAACTCTCTGCACATAGTATAGGAAAAACACTACTTGGATTCAGAAATCCTGTCTTAGCTATTGCTCCGTCATTCACTAACCTGGGCAATTCCTCTAATTCTACCAAGTGTTAGTCTCCTCAACTGTAAAATGGGTTCCTTTCCAAGATCTCTTTCTGCTCAGAACACCATGATTTTAGGAACTGATGGTGGTAATTTACTCAAAGCCAGTTTTTCCTCTTCTACTCCTCCTCAATATTCATACTTCACACTCAAGAAGCCTTTGCTTATTTACTCAAAGCAAAAAGGGGAGGCTATGTTCCATCTGCCAAGCAATCTGTTCTCCAAATATCAGCCCCTCCTTACACGATAGAGCTGTTTTTGGTTTTTTTTTTAACAGTACTTCTCCTTTTTCATACATGTCCACTTGATCTTCCCAGGGAAATGAAATTCTCCAGGGGCAGAAGCTATCTCTGTGTTTCACTAAAGCTCTTCTACTGTCCAGCACACACGAGCACAGAGGTGACACACGATGAATATTCACCACTGAATGACTGTGTGAATATGTGGATGACTGTCTTATTATCAAGTCTTTTTGCTACAGGTTAAATCACAGAACATGATGTGAAATTTCATCTCTACACATGAAATCTCTTCTTTAGAAATTAAGCTATATTTTTGATGATTAAAAAAGAGATATTGCCTTTATTTTCATAAAGTACCTATAAAAACTAACAATCTTTGTTCAAGAAACTGAAACTTCTGATCAAAAAAAGCCCAAAAGTTAGGAGTCTTAACAGTGGTCTTCCCCCATCCAGTCTGAAGACTGCATGTGCTCCTACCAGCATGTTCACAGTCATACCATATTGGAGTTGGAATGTGCACATGCGCGCACACGGGCACGCGCACACGGGCACACGCACGCGCATGCACACACACACACACACACACATTCATCGGCGATGCAGTGGTAGCAGCTACCATCTTAGACTTTTATCTCTGTTAGCCCAGATAACAAGGAAGGACTATTAGGGAGAAAAACAACCCCCAGTAAGTGCCATAATTCAGTGTGGAGCAATATTCCTGGGCTCTAGGCTCTCCACTAGCTGTTTAGATGAATGAAACCGAATGCAAAACAAATGGCATCCTTCTTTCACTGAGCCAACTTTCTGTGGCTTCCTACAATGGCTACAGGTATGCAGCCACTAGAGGGGACCCCATTTGGGCCTCTGAAATCTGAGTGGGCAGAGGTGGGAGAACGTGTGTTGGTATATCAACTTTGGGTGTGAAAATAACCATCTAACGTTTAATTCTTTTTCCATGAGGAAGTATATAATGTATGTTTATGTGTAAGTGTAGCATGTAATTATTATTTCTCATATTTTTCTCTTTTTCCTTTAGTCAGGTTTTTCTTAGTTAGAAAGCTAGCATAAGTACTGTAATAGTTGCTTTGTTTTTGAAGAGTAGGACCTCCCCACCAAAAAGCTTCTTTTATTTTTATTGTACCAATTTTAAACTTGTGGGGCAGGGGTGGGGGGAGCAGCAGAAGGTTCTAGTCCAGAGGGCAAAGGGTCACAGCTTACAAAATGGCTGAGCCCAATCCTGGCAACATCCGCTGGTGGACAGCGGCCCAGTATCTGCTCTCAATCTAAGCACCCATTTTATTCCAGGAACTGCTAGATCCCTGAGCTGGAGCTCTTATGTTCGGGATGTGCATGTGGAGAATTTTAGTAGATTAGACTGTGAGTTTCCTGGAATTAGATGGAAAATTTTACACATAAACGAGTTTTTCTGGAGGGGTGATTCATTATTTCTATCTGACCCTCGAAGAAGTCCTTGGCACAGAAGGAGTTAGGAAGAGCTGCCTCACTGCTGTGGCTTCCCTTTGACACCCGCCTCCTCTTGCAACACAGACAGTGTGGACATGCTCATATGGCGCATCTCTAAGTGGAGACCAGTGTCTGAGACTCGGGCAGTGACTCGCCCCAGGCCATGCAGCACGATGGGGACAGGGTTCCAGTTCACACTTGTCTGGTTCCACAGTCTATGCGCTTCCTAACTGAAAGGCCTGATGATGGGGGCAGGGCGGGGGGGGTAAAGAGCCTGAGTTCACCTTTGATGTCATAACTGAATCAAGGAAAGAGGAGACGAGGGGGTCTGGATGGTTGGTCACCCCTGCAGGTCCGCTGAGGCCTGGGTCTGGAGTGTTTACCGAGAATGAGGAGCCAGGTGCTTTCCGTCAGCTCTCCGTGGACGTTGGCTGCCCTGCAGGAGTACAGGCCCTGGTCCAGGGAGGACACCTGCATGAGCAGCAAGGAGCCCTCGTTCGGATGGTGAGAGGAGCCCAGCTCGCTTTCATTCCTGAACCAGGTGACTTCAGCTTCAGGCACACCTGGAAGAAAAAATAAGTTTATTATCCAAACACACTCAGAACCCAGAGGCTTTCTGGCTTCTCAGTGGGCCCTCATGGGGCTGCTTTGCAGGAAGCAGCTGCCTGGCATCTTCAACATCCTCTGGCCAAGCTAAACAATGCCTGGATATTTTTGCTGTTTCTAGATCTTTTCCTTTTAAAACTTATCACCATGAGGCAGGGAGAGGAGGCTGGTTAAGAAGAGAGGAGAGAGACCCAGGTGGAGGGCACTTGCCAAGGTAGAACATCCACATTCTTTGGAGAAAACATAAAAAATCTAAAAATTAAATGTATAAATCCATGACAATGAAGGATCTAAAACTCTGTAAGACATAGTGTTGAGTAAGAAAAGCCAGATACAGGATTATGTACTGTGTGAATTCATTTCTGTAAGCAAAAATCAAATTGGTAACATTAATTTATATTGTTAGCAGCTTGAGTGTGCATTCTCTGGGGAGGTACGCTGAACCCAGGGGGCTGTGACAGAAAGGGTCCAGGGGCTGGGCCACTGGTGATGCTGTTCCTCCATGCCTAACCGGGCAGGGAATGTTTACGTGGTGTCTTAATGATAATATGCACTTTTCTGTAGTGATATATTTCAATGAAAAGGTAAAAGGTATAGAACATTAAAATAGATGTCTGACCTAGATAAATAAAAGCTGCTAGACCCTTATTAGAGTCGCACTGTATGTAGGAAAACATGCTTGTATTTTTATAGGGTGCAATAGTTCGGATTGTAGAAGTTCCCAAAGGCCCATATGTTTGCTAAAGGTTTAGTTCTCAGGGTGGCAGGACCTTCAAGAGGCAGGGCCTCTTGGAAGGTCTCTAGGCCCCTTCTTCATGCTCTTTTGCTTCCCAGCCATGAGGTGAGTGTGTCTGCTCCACGATGTGCTGCCGGGTCATGGGCCCAGAACAATGGGTCAATCAGTATGGAATGGAAACTCCAAAACTGTGAGCCACATAAACTTTCTCACTTTTTAAACTGATTATCTCAGGTATGTTGTTACTATGACAGAAAGGGATCAACACAGAAGCATGTATATTTTCTTAGAACAAGAGAACACAGCACTGTGGCATCCATAGCAGCAAAGAAGATGGAGCACTATGCCCCTCTGTAATCCACACCTGTCCTGTGAGAGAGCTAGGGAGAAGCTGTGCTGAGGCAGGGTGACCCCTGCCTGTGGAAGCCAGGCTGTGTTAGAGGGCAGCTCCCTGAGAGGCTTCCTGAGTCAGCATGCTGGCATCAGGCCCTGGTCCAGGGCATGCCTTCCCGATGGTCTCTGTAGGAAGCTCCGCAGGAAGCTGGGGAGAGGTGCACACTAACGTAGCTCAAGTGACAGAACGCTTGCTGTTTATGTGCCTGAGCCAGCAGACTGGCCTTATCTCTCATACACCTAGAAAAGGTAACAGGTGAGGAGCAAAAAGCTGATTTTGCACGGTAGCACCACTAGGGAGAGCAAGAGCATCATGATGCCTGCCCATGCCAGCTTGGACTTTGGATCTTGAGCTCAGATGTTACTTAAAGAAAAAGAATCTCGAGAAATTCAATAGAAAGCCTCTGAAAAGTAAGGTGAAGAAAAAGGGCCCTCAGCCATTCCCATTCCAAAAGCACAGGAAAAAAGGAAGTTCTATAAACAATGTCCAGCAAGTATTCGTCCCCTTTCGCTAGAGTTGTTCCCTACATAACATTTATGACTGGCATCGTCTTGCTGAGAGCTTTAGTCAGCAGGCACACTGCTTCTAATGGGGCTGCAGGCTGCTGGAGAACAAGACTGGCAGAGAGAATGGGACAAAATGGGCATTCTTTCATCCCATCAATAGAGGGCGCTGTCTATAGGAACGGGGCGCCAAGACCCGAGGGAGGCCTATGCTGACCCTGCTGGTACAGTCTCTACAGGGACTTCATGGCTGTGTGTAACACAGAACCTCCTGCAGAAAACGTGCCTGCTACCTGTCAGTGTGTCCTGCTCTGTCAGAGCCTGGACTCTACGAGGAGCAAGAGATTGAGAGATGCAGGGCAGAGAGTGAGGGAGAGAGGGAGAAGGAAAGGGAGGGAGAGGGAGAGGGAGAAGCCAGAACACCCAGGACCCACAGGGTAAAGGAGGAGAAGCTTATTTCGGCTCACGGAGTTTTCAGGGATTCAGTCCATGGTCAGCTGGCTGCATGGTAGGAAGGCTGTGGAGGGAGGTTGGGCGGAGGCAAGCTGCTCATGTCATGGCAGCCAGGAAGCAGAGAAAGGGGAGCAGCTGGGGAGGGATGCTTCCCAAGGTTATAGCCCCATGGCCCAACTCTTCCCACCAGGCCCCACCTCCAAAGGTAAATTCAGCTGTGGATTCATCAATGGATTAATCCACTGATGACTACAGTGCCCCCATGATCCAATAACCTTCCCAAAGCCCCATCTTTGGAAACGTGAGGTTTTGGGGGACATTCCTGATCTAAATTATAATCCTGAGTGATGACAAAAATGACAAGAGTCCCCATTCCCTCCTACTTACTGTCCCTTGGCTGCTCAGTAATCCTTGGTGCTGGCTGGCGAGCCCACCTGAGGTAGCTCTGGTACTGAGAATCCCCATCTGAGCAGGGCACACACAGTCTGCTCTAATTTAGAGAAGGTCTGAACTGCTGTCTTACTATTTCCAAACTGTGGAAAACTTAGATACATTCTACTTTCACAACTAATCTTTCTGCTGTTGTTGAAACACTGAGATTGCTAGGAAAGAGGTTCCTAGAATCCACTGGTACTGACTTTGGTACGGACTCTGGCAGGTCTCTCTTGTGGGAAGCTCAGTCAGGTTCTGGAAATAATTTTTGTCTTACCTCCTGTAATATGACAGCACATTGTATAGAAAGAAACGTCTGAAAAATGGCAAAAAATACACTCTACCACAGAAAAAGATCCAAAGCCATGTTGGTGTTGGCCAATTATTGGGCTAGGCTCCATACTGTGGATTGCTTGGTACTATCTGTGTCTGAAAAGGGGAAGCAAAAAAATTGGTGTTTGCTTCTTCCCCTTGTGGATTATTGTACAACAACACAACAATCTCCCTGTTGCTTGAAAAGATCAATAAATGGGTCTAGTCCCCATTTGGGCTGTAATGGTATGATTGTAAGGTTTAGTGCTTTTAATCTACACCGAGCTGCCAGGAGGTGTGATACTGTAAATCCCTGCCTTTTAAAATTCCCAGACAGGATATTCTTGCTAACTGGAAAGTTTGTTATATGTGGAAGGCAGTATGCCTGTGCCACGGAGCTTGTTAATATCCTGCAGGGGCTTCCAATGGTGTCCTTCCATACTGGAAGTTCTAGAAGCTTCTGAGGTAAGGGTAGGGTAGCTTGGTACAAGAAAAGAGAAAAGATACAGTAATTCAAACATCAGCTTTGGTGATTCTAAAAAATCACAGCAGTCTGGAAAAGAGGTTTGTTTGCAAGCTCACCTTCTATCAGTGCAAGCAAACAGAAACAGCCAGATGACAGGTGAGCAGAGGGATGAATATGTTAATCGGCAGGATTCAGACCTGCTGCGCTGTGCAGGTCACATGGTACTCCTGAACACACACAAATGTGACTTCTTCTGAAAAGGTTACCTTTCACCTCGTCTGTCCCAGACAGAATTAAATTTTCCTCCCCTAAATTTCTGAGTCACTTTGTAATTTCTGAGTGGCTGAGGTTCATGCTTTAGCTTTTGTGTTAGTCCCTGAGAGGAGAAGTTGTGTGGAATCTGTCTTTGTGAGGCAGCCTGGCACAGGGCTCCATTAATATTGGAAGAATGAACACAGTGGTGAGTTTCTCACCTGCAACTTGGCAGTTAATTGTCACATTCACTCCCTGCACTGTTCTGATGGTGCTTCCTATATCCACGGTGACTGCAGGCTTCTCCGTGTTGGTCACAGTCATCCGCGATGCTTTCACCAGTGGCTTTCCTAAGGTGAGAGAGAATGTGCCATGTTACCAGGTGGTGGCTGTGGGCTTGGAACACAGGAACACCAGGCTCCCCATGCTCTCTGGTGAAAAGAACGTAACTTCACAGATAAGTCACCCACCTACCCACCTGGGCCCTCCCCGGCGGTCAGGAAAGGAGCAAGGACTGAGGCTTCTGAAGAGGGATAGGGCATGGCATACAAGTAGGGATGATTTTTGCAATTTAACTATTAAATTAACTGTGACTCGATAAGCTACATTTCTAAGGGCTTATTTTACAACTTTTTTACTTTGAGATAACTGTAGATTCAATATGCAGTTGTAAGAAATAATGCCCAGCAATTCTGGGTACACTCACCCAATTTTCCATGAGTGCCACATCATGGTCTCAGTATCAACATTAATGAGGTTAAACTACAGAACATTCCCACCGTGGCAAGATCCCTTATGATGTCCCAATCCCTCCTTAATTCTATGGCAACCATTAATGTGGTTAGCATTTTTATAATTTTGTCATTTCAAGAGTGTTATATAAAAGGAATCATATAATATGTAATCTTTGGTGATTTATTTTTTTCATTCAGAATAATTCTCTGTAGATTCTTCCAGGTCTTAGATGGTACCATGATTCAGGAGTTTGTTTCTTTTTACTGCTGAGTAATATTCCATGGTATGGTTGCACTACACTTTGTTTAGCCATTTACCTGCTGAAGAATGTCTGGGTTGTTTCAAGATACTGACATTTAAATAAATCTGCTATGAACATTCTGGTTCAAGTTGTGGTAGGAACTTAAGTCTTCATTTTTCTGGGGTAAATGCCCAGGAATGCAACTTCTAGGTCATGTGGTATTTACATGTTTAGTTATTTTTATAGAAACCACTGGACTGTTTTTCAGAGCAGCTCTACCATTTCATATGCCCATAGACAGTGTATCAGTTATTCAGTTTCCCTGCTTCTGGGCCAGCATTCGGTGCTGTCCTGAGTTTTTATTTCATCCATTCTGATCGTGATACATTGTTTCCCTAGTAGCTTTGTCTTACTCACTTTCTTTGTCACTGAGACACAATAACTGACACCCAAACTTAGAGGAGCAGAGGCTTATTTGCCTCATGGGTACAATCCCTGTTGGCCAGCTTCGATGCAGAAATGGGACAACAGACTGCAGGGCCACAGTGCCTGGGAGGAGCAGTGAGGACCTGGGGAGGGAGACACCTTTCTAGATCATTCCTCAGTGACTCGATCCAACCCCCTCAGCCCCAAGTGCACACTTGGCGGCTGGCCTCCCCAGAGGAGGAATCCGCCAGGGAGGACCGTACCTGGATCCCACTGCCCTGCTCTGATCACAGAGTTTCCAGGGCTGTTGCAGATCTGAACCGGAACAGCTAAGTATCTACTATCTGCTAATTTGCCATATGTATATCCTCTTTGATTAAATGTCTATTTGTGCTCTTTGAGGATTTTCTAATTAGATTTTTTACTGCTGAATTTTGAAGTTTCTGTATAGATATCGTTTGTCAGATAGGTGGTGTACAAATGGTTTCTCCCAGCATCTTTTCATCTTCCTTGATGTGATCTTTCATGAACTTAAGGTTGTAACTGATAAAATCCAATTTATCAATGTTTCATTTTATAGATTATGCTTTTGTTATCAAACCTAAGAATTATTTATCTAATTCTACATACTGAAGGCTTTATTCCCTACAAATATAGTGGTTTTACATTTTACACTTAAGTCTGATACATTTTGAGTTAGTTTGGGTATAGTGTGATGTGTAGGTGAAAGTTCATTTGTTTGTTGTTTATGGATGTCCAATTGTTCTGATACCATGAATTTAACAGCTACTTTTCCTACACTGGATTGCTTTTACATCTTTGTCAGAATCAATTGGGCATATTTGTGTAGGTTTATTTCTGGGTTCTGTAGTCCACTTATCTATGTGTCTCTGCCCCTACTAATGCCACACAACCTTAATAATTGCAGCTATAGAATTAATTTTAAAATCAGAGGCTGATTCCTCAAAATTGCTAGGATTTTGATAGAAATGACATGAACTCTCTATATCAATTAGGAAAAAACCTGACATCTTTGTCAAATATTTCAATCCATGAAACCCTGCATGTCTATTTATTTTCTTTAATGTAGATCTTTAGTTTTTTTAAAAAAATCAACCAGGATACAAGCCTCATTGTGTTTTGTTACCTAATTATTTCTTTTGAGAAGTAGTGAAATGACACTGTATTACTAATTTCATTGTTCAGTGCTAGAATACAGGATTATGGAAATTTAGTTGCTTTACTTTTAATAGTCTGTTACCTTTATAACATACTGTTAAATGAAATAATGATTTGGGGAAGAAAGTGACATTTTAATAATACTGAATCTTCTAATTCATGAACATAGTATGGCTCTTCATTTGTTTGGATTAATTTACATTTCTCTTAGGAATATTTTGAAGTTTCTAATACAAGCATTAAAATTATTATTAAATATCAAAAAATAGTCTGTTACTTTGTTAAATTAGTTCTAGGACTTTTTTCTTTTATAGATTCATTTCATCTGCAAATGCAAACAGAAACAAGTTTTATTTCTTTTTTTCTAACCTCTATGCATCATTTCTTTTCCCGCAATACTATATGGATACATCTTCTACATTACTTTGAATAAGGTGGTAAAAGTACAGTTTGGAAAGGTAAATGATTACCAGTTGCAATCTGCATGTTTCTGTGTGTTGCAAGACTGAAACTTATTTAAACCTCGTGTTTTAGCTGGCTTTTTCGGAAACCACTGAGGCATGGCAGCAGGGAGGTGTGACCTTGTTTTCACCCACCAGCGAGGAGCCTGACTGCTGCTGGGGCAGTACAGGTCCTGACTCGAAGGTGCGCCTTTCCAACACGGCCAGCAGAAGGCGGGCAGTGCCGGTGAGGCTGGGAGGTGGGCTTCCCGGACACCATCTCCACGGGGATGTGAGGAGCGGTGAGCTCCTCATTTTAGTCTTTCTGGGGTTAAGTCTGGGCTCCCTACTCAGCGACTGCTGGTATGTGGGGGCGGCTCGTGATGTTTTCTGTGATGCCTGGCCAGGAAGAGCAGCATTTTCTAAATATCTTGTGTCTTGCTATGCTGCTTGTGTTCTGGCCCTTTTGCCAGTGAGAATGGGGGCTTTAATCCAGACTTTTTATTTTTAAAGTACTCATTGGCATCTCCTGGTAGCTCACTGGCTTCTTCAACTTCAAGTTTGGGATTTATAAGGCAAAAAGAGAATCCAACAGAGTCACAATTTTGAAAATTGTGTAAACTCTTCCTCAGTTTCCAAGATCTCTAGCCGATCTGCTTTCTTCTCTCCACTCTTCAGTCTTATGTGTACACAACACAGAAGGTTTTTAATTGCCCTCAGCAGGAAGAATAGGGAGAAGAGGGCCAGCTACGCTGTCTTCCTGGAAGTGGAAGTTCTGTGTACACTGTTTCAGGAGGCATTCATCAGCTGGGAAAAATACAGCACTTCATAAATATGATCATAAAATACAATGAAAAGATTCATTTATTGAGCACCTTGGGGAAATAAGGGTCCACATGAGATCACTTTCATATACCTAAAGCCTAATCTTTTGCAAGTCAAATGGATTTCATTTTGTTGAAACGTTTATAGGCAGGCTGTTATGCAAGGGCATCTCCTCTTCTCTGCCTGCATTAACTAGGAAGAAAACCTTATTTCAGAAACGTTCTTTGGAATCTTACACCTGCCTTTTATGTGTTTTTTTCCCCTATCTATTCATTTTTGTACTCCTCACAGCCTCATATCTAGCTGTCTCCTTTTCCACTGTAGTTCTAGCTCTCTCTAGGCACAGATCATTAAGCTCACTGGGATTATGTTTAAAAGCGGACACCTGACTGAGTACCTGAGGCTCTCACCTGTGAATATGTGGACAGGCTGTTCATATCTGTTCTGATTGTTTAGGGTCTTTCCCCTTATTTCTATATTTTATTCATTTGCTGTTGTATATAACCTGAAGTGAAGATGAACTATTCAGTGCTGAGCTGTTTGTACACTAAATTCAGGGTGATGACAGGAGGAAGTGGCTGGAGAGTCATTGAACTGACACTGGCATGCTTATCTTACTTACCTTTGAGACACTTCAGGGCTCTCATTCCCAGTCTCCCTGTGTCACACCAGCATCTGTGCGCCGATGCCCTGGCCCCCTTGGCCCTGGTGGGACAGCTGCACTGCCTAACTGGTCTCCTCTTTCTTCCCTTGCCTCACTAGAGTCTCTTATGACTCTAGCCAGAGTGATTTCCTAGAGCATGGACTACATCATAGAGACTTTCTGCTTCAATTTTCTGGTGCTTTTTGGTGCAACGTGAACAAAGTTTCTGGCTTGTTTTCATGACTGACCTTGCCCTACACAATGACGTCCTGCAGGCGCCTCTCCTCCCACTGAGACCACACTTCCTATCAAACCCCAAACCCAGCACTCTGCCCCCTCCCTTCCTGCCAACCAGGAGCACAGGTGCCCGGGCTGCTCCTACTCCTGTGTCTCCTCCCTACAGGTGCCCCATGGTCACTGTCCTCTGGTCATTCAGGTCTCTGTGCACAGTGTCCCATTGCGAACCTCTCTCAACTAGCATCTAAAGCACGTCTCTTCGCTTTCCTGCCAAGTATGACATATTTCACTAACAATCTTTTTTCATAAGACCACCTGATCAGAATTTATCTTATTTATTTGTATGTTCTCTGTACCCTCTTCCCCTACCGCATTTCATCCTTTATTTTCCATAAAAGCAAAGGTCACATCTCTCCTGCTCCTTTCTTTATTCTTGTCATCCAGTCCTGGAACACAGCAGTCCTCAACAAATATCTGTTACATCAAAAAATGTGTACTATGTGCATTATCTGAATTTCTCAACCCCGAAGAGGGGCAGACAGGTGAAGCACGGTTATCTTTTTAGAGACAAAGAACTCAGGCTCCATGGTTTACCTAACACTGCAGAGCTGGCTGACCTGGACA